ACTCGATTTTGCTATTCAATTAAGGGTAGTGTTAGCTTAAACTTGATCAAATGCATAGTCCTCGTGGGTTTGACACTCTACACGCCACTTTATTACTCGTTTTATGATCTCGTTGTCGGGACTATTGTTTTCGATAAGTTTTAATAAATTTTAACTTTAATCTGAATTTTATCTTTTTCTTTCTTTTTTCCTTTTTTTTAGATTAATTTATTATATTAGAAAATTTTTACAGCATTTATGGCTTTCTTGTTCAGGGACTTGTATGTGAAGCTCGAGAACTGGGGATCTTGCTCAATTTGACCTAGAAAGTTGAATGAACATTCAACTTTCGAAGAAGACAACAACTTGAAACATACCAAAAATAGAAAGAGGAAGACGTGGCAAATGAAAATCCAAATCAAATAGCCATCGAGGCTAATCTAGGAGCAGCACAATTGAATATAGCTGCATTCAATGAAAATGCAAGGCTCATGGAAGAGTATATGGTTCTATCGATAGTGGAAAGCCAGTCCAGTATCATATATCTAGCGTTTGGTCAAGCAAACTTCTACCTGAGGACAGATGTCACCAACATGTTCCAGAATGCACTACAATTCTTTGGGAGAGCTAAGTAGAATCCCAACGCTCATGCATCAAGATTTTTGGACATGTGTGCAACAATTGAGTATCCGAGGGTTTCAAGTGAAGCAATCAGATTACGGGTCTTCCCATACACATTGAGGGACTTAGCAAGGGAATGGTTAGACACTTGTCCACCACAGTGCATTACAACATGGAACCAATTGAGTCAGAAATTTTTTAGCAAATATTTCCTGTCGAAAAGTATTGCAAAGCTAAAGGATAAGATTACTATTTTCAGCAAATGGACTTAGAATGCTATTCAAAGGCTTGGGAACGATACAAGAGTTTACTTCGCAAATGCCCACAACACGAATTACAGAAGTGGCTTCAGCTGCAATACTTCTACATTGGTCTGAATCCAATTAGCAAAGCTAACATAGACTTTGCATGTGATAGTTCTCTCACAAAAAGAACCGCGGATCAAGTCTACCAAATCATGGAGGATTTGGCATTCATCAGTGCACCGTGGTCAACAGAAAGAACAGATGTAAAGAAAGTAACGGGGATACATGAGGTAGATCCATTGACAGCAATCTCAGCACAATTGGCAGCTTTAGTGCAGAAAGTGGAACAAATAAGCTAAATTCAGACTGTGGGACAAAAATGCAGACATTGTACAGGGAACCATGAAAGTGTTGATTGTAATGTAGGGTCTCCTTTTGTTCAGACAGTGGAGGATGTGAACTACACTCAGAATTTTGAAAGGCAACAATACAATCCAAATCCTAACAACTACTGCCCATGTTGGAGAAATCACCTAGGCTTTTAATAGAGTAATAATCAGGGAGCTCAGATAGCACCACAGACCGTATCGCCCGGATTTCAGCAGAATGAGAAGACATCTTCATTAGAGGACCTAGTGACTAAGTTGGCGGAGATATCTACTCAACACATGTATAGAACAGACAAGACTTTACAAGTTCAAGGAGCTATTATCAAGAATTTAGAAAATTAGATGTGACAAATAGCAAAAGTACTCTCAGTAAGACAGCAAGAAGCACTGCCAAGCGACACAAAAACAAATCCGAAACAGTAGGTAATGGCAGCAAAAATTGTGGAGAGTGAGGAGAGTGAGGCAATCACTATACGTAAGAGGATTAAACATCCAGAAATCACAGTCAAAAAATGTGTGGCAATAAATGAAAATGTACCTTCCAGAGATGAGAAGCAAGTGGATAAATCTGAACAACCAGACGAAGTAATTCCATATGAAGAGTCAAAAAATCTACAGATTAAGACAAACGCTTTTATCAAACCTCATGTGCCTCATATCCCATTTTTACAGAGATTGCAAAAGAGGAAGTTGGAAGAATAGTTTGCAAGGTTCTTGGACATCTTCAAGAAGCTTCATGTCAACATTCCACTGATTGAAGCTATATCTCAAATACCGAACTATGCAAAGTTTCTGAAGGAGATCCTATCCAAAAAGAGAAGGCTTATAGATTTTGAGACCATCAAGTTAAATGAGGAGTATAGTGCTATCTTACAGAACAAATTACCTCTTGAGCTACAACATCCAGGGAGTCTTAAAATACCTTGCTCAGGGAATGATTTGACTTTTAATTGTTTATGTGACTCAGGAGCAAGTATAAACCTAATGTCTTTCTCTGTATACAGGATATTAGGATTGGAAAAGCTAAAGGATAGATCCATCTCCCTTCAATTGGTAGATAGATCAATTAAATACCCACGAAGAGTTGTTGAGAACGTGCTCATTAAAGTTGGCATATTCATATTCCCCGTTGATTTTGTTGTCCTAGATATAGAGGAGTCATTGAATGTAGTGTTATTTATCTTGGGCAGATCATTCCTATCAACAAGCCGAGCTATCATGGACTTTGAAAGTGACGAACTGACATTGAGAGTGGAAGATAAGCAAGAGAAGTTCAAGATCTACAACACTATGAAAAATCCATTACAAGAAGAGATCAGCAAAAAGGCTAAGGAGGAGTGCAAGTGTATTGCTACAAAGGTGCAACAAGGCTCGAAGGAGACGGAGCCTAACATTTAGTGAGTGTTGGACGAGAGAAGAATGGAGGGTTCAAGGTTTGGAGGGCAAAACGAGGATGCAAAACCAGAAATTACAAGGAATGCAAAAGCTCAAGATACCTATTTCAACCACCCCGATCAATTCCTCTGTATAGTTGGTTATTATGATTGGTTGGGTTAAGTAACACATGTTCTAGGTTATTTGATCGTTAATTTTTAATTTGACCGCTATATGCAGAAACATGACGTCGTGGAACACTCAGGCCAACATAGTCCAAAGGAAAAGCATGGCGAAAGAGATTGTCTAGCTGTCACCCATAATCCCTCTCATCTTTTACAGAAATTCGTGGAGTATTTTCTTTTTCTTTTTTTTTTCAATCCCTTATATTCTTACTTTTGCTTTATGAAATTGAGGATAATGTTAGGTTCAAGTTTGGGGATGGAAAAACTGTGAGTTTTTGGTTTTTGTATGCTTGTGTGTTTCCTTAAAAAAATCATTAAATTTTCTTTTGTTTTTGTGCGTGTTCTTTTAAAAAAAATATCTTTTTCAGGTTGTTTGGCTGACAATGATGATTTAAAATTGAGTTGTGGATATGTTGCATGCTAGACTAATTGAAACTTAATCTTGCAAAACTTGACATTATGTGCGTTAGAATTGAGTCTGACATTGTGATGAAATGAGTTGTTTCATGCTCCTGATAGGTTGATTTAGTTGGACATAGATGCTTTACCCATACCATACTAAATTAATTATCCGCAAACCAAATTTAGCACAGTTTGGGGTGATTTTACTAGTGTAGGAAGATGCAGATGTGAATGAGGATTTCTTGTTTGAAAAAAGTTGTGGATTGTCTTAAATTAATAAGATAAAATTGGGCGGAAGTCTTAAATTAGAGGTCGATTTGCTTGAATAGGTATGTGATAAGGGGCATTTCACTAATTAATGCATATATATTAAATTTAAAACTTCTCTTTGAAACCTTTATGACTCGAGTAATTAAGTCTGCAAGGGTATCTTAAAACCTGATTTTTGCTTGTTTGTGTGTTTGTTACTATTTAGGTTATAGTTTTGTTTGAGAACAAACAAATATTTAAGTTTGGGGTGTTTGATAAATGTATTTTATACACTTGTTCGGGGCTTTAAAATAGAAATATTTGATAGTTCTTTTGACAAATTATATCTTCAAATGTTGTATTTTATATTTTATAGGTAAACTCTATAAATGAAAAGGATTGAAGGAAAGAAGCAAAAAATGGTGAAAATGGCAAAATTCGAAGTATGGGAATTGAATTGGCTATTGGATGCAAAGTTTGGAGATCGAAGTTTACACTATAGAAATTGAAGGACTCAATTGCATAATTTGGGAAAGATGAAACATTGGAGAGGAATATTAAATTAAATGGGTATTGAACTTAATTGGGCTTTAGTTTGGACTAGCAATTGGGAATCAAATTAAAGAATTACTTGGGCTCTCGTTGAATTTGAACCTGCTAGGTTAATATATGCACTCAAGCTGGAGGAATTCAAAGGAGGCGGCCACATCATACATTGATATATCTCACACGTAGAAAAGAACAGTAGAACACGTAAAGAGGAAAAAAAATGGTTGGTTGGTCCCGAAAATTACAAACAGATGGCATCACTATTCAACGGCAATTGATGAGAAAACACGGCTGAATGGCCCCCAAGGCACATCTCCAAGTGGTAAAAGGGAATGGTGGAGAAATCCATATTTGCTTGAGGCTGTCGCGTCAAGGGTTCGAATCCTGAAATATGGATTTGGCTATTGGATAAGTCCAAGTGTATAAGCAGCCTTCCACCTGTACCTTTGGAGGCATAACCTGCGATTTACCTCTCTCACGATACTCCAGAATAGGGACGGTGAGGGACCCTTAAGGTTGGGGTTCAACCTTTTACCGATCAAAAAAAAAAAAAAAAAAAATAACACGGCTGAATGTGCTAAACAAGGCTGCTGAATTTGCTATATAGAGAAAGGGCTGCCTGCTGTTTGATGCAAGCAAAAAGTGGCTTGCAATTGAATTAATTATACATAGACACGCATACCCAACAAAAAAAAAAAGAAGAAGAAGACGACGACGACATGCACAAAAGTGGTGGCAACTTTGGAAAATGGAATTAATTTTCAATCTTTGTTCAATAATTTATCAACAATTGAGCGGGAATTAGTCACGTTTCGTCAATTTTTGGTGATATTTTTTATTTTTTTTGTGCTTAATTTCGACAATATGATTGGCTAGATTTTTATATTGCTAGAATGTAATGAACCTTTGTTATGAATTTTTTGGCTTGAATAATTAATTTACGTTAATTTGTTTAATTGTTTGGATGTTTATTATGTTTTAATTTCGTTTTCAATTATTTGGCCAATAATGGAATTGTTTGTGGATTTTATTGTGATCGAGAGAGATAATAAAATTTTTAGCATGTAGTAATAAACATTGTGATGTTCGATAAATGATATAGATATACCTCTATATTTTATATGATTTTTATAAGATATTCTATCACATTTAATGAATTTATCATGTTCGCAACTTTCATCAAAAGATAGGGAGGTCATATGAGAGGAATATATTTAATAATTATCGAGAGAAATTTTCAATTAAAATAGAAACATTGACCAACAAGCATGATTTTAAATTGTCAATTTAAATTGTCGAACTAAAAATAGATTAATAAGGGGGATTCTGCCTCTTAAGCAATATTTCTTGCGAATTTAATAAGGTTTCTGTATATTGCTTTTAAGTTAGTTAATAGATTTAATAGTTTTTAGCTACCACTCGATTTTGCTATTCAATTAAAGGTAGTGTTAACTTAAACTTGATCAAACACAGTCACAATGGGTTCAACACTCTACACACCACTTTATTACATGTTCACGATCTCGTTAACTTACGAGTAATCAAACGATCACATGGGATTTCAGCCGTAGTAGAAAGTCTTATTTTTCCACATTTCGGTCTAAAGCTGAGATGTAATGGTTTATTGCCAAAAACTAGTCCTTTGATTTTGTTTGCTTCACAAGAAAATATGACATCGACGACTAAAATATTAGTCTTAACAGTTCTCATCATAATTCCTAACTACTTAACACGAGGATCTACTCCCAGACTAATGAAAAACCATGAGTCACTAAAGATATCAACAAAGAATTGTGTATACAAGCCCAGATGATCAATAAAATGAGGGCTAGCAAGCCTAGCAAGATTTTTAGTAAAAACTTTTTTTTCGCTATTAAAAGGATTGAATAATACTCAACACTATCGAAAAATCGAAAAGAAATGAAAATCTTGTTAAATGTGCTATCTCAATCAAATTTAGCATACCAAACATACACTTTGTGGTTACATCCTGAATTTCTTGTGCTTCCTCTAACTCATCATGCGCCGACTAGAATTAGAGACTCAAGTCCAATTTAAGCATAAGAATACTTGAAAATATCTCCTCGTCTAGTTCTATCTTCACAACTATTATCATCGTTTACTGATGCAAGCATCAAAGTGTCATCAAGATCGCTCTTATCCCATTCTTATTCAACCCCTTAAAATATTTACCGTGTATCAGTAAAGACCTCTCAATGGAAATCGACGTAAACATTATATAAGCATTATGGAATTTTTCCTTGTGGTCCTTTCTCTCGACATCCAATAATCAAAATCTCACCTCGATACATATATTCAGGTGATGTGATACATTATCTAGTTAAGGTCATAAAGAAGCAATGTATGCCAAGATTATCTAATGTTAGTTATGTTTATCTTTATGTACCCGTCTCGCGTTTATTTCCATCAAAAAAAGGCAATTTATGCCAAGATTTGGCAACTAACAAAATTGTCCACAAAATGAAAGTAAAATGTGGATTGTAAGATTATATTGATATAGATTAGTAAGAATATACAATAAGTGAGTTGGCAATTACTGAGAATATATTAGGAAAATACATTTATTGCTAGGGCAAGTTTTCATAGTCCATAGAATTAAAGAAACTTCAAGAGTAATGTGATGTAAGAAAATGAAGGTTAAATCAAAATTGGCATTATTATTTGTTGTTGCTAAAGATCTAATTAATTCAATTCCATGATCAAAGGGTAACGTGACCTCTATAATTTACCCCAAAAAAATTGGTTACAAAAGGAGTTATATAGGTAATCTTAAATTTATTAAAAATAGAAGTTAATTGAATATTACTGTACATGGTAATAAAAGGCATTCTCATACTAGAATAGGGTAATTTAGTGGTTTGATTACTTAATCAAGGCCAGTTACAAATGGTGCCAAGTCTTGCTATCAACGTTAACCACTTTTATTTCTTGATTTTTTTTTTTTAATTTTTACGAAGAATTAATTAGTAAGCAAATTAGAAAATCTACTTGACCCATCAGGTCCGACTAAGACTGAGTTATTATAGGTACGACGTATGAAATCATAAAATCTATTTGCACCATTGACGATATCTCAAATTGTGATTCACACGACGTCTCTATTCAATGTAGGGCCGTGGTGGGCGAGGGGAGGGCCTGCCCGCGAGGATTGTTTCAGGGGCTTTACTCTTCAATGTAACATATGACTTCCTCGCATTAGTACACATAAGAGGTCCACTAATATCTATATTCATATTTCAGGCATTAGAACCAAATGACGCGTATTGAAGATTTTTTTCCTATTGACTTATATCCTTTTTCTGTTTAACACAATCATTAATATGAAATAAAACACGATTCGTTTGGAGTTTGAATTGTTCAGCATGTGCACCTCCCAATGAAAACCCATGGGCTTGCTTATTTCTCATGCATTAAAGACTCTAGAAAAGTAAAACGAGATTTGCTATAGGTACCCAGAGTTTGACATTATATGTTACTTACTACTCACATGGAGGGTCAGGGCCCCATGTCAATAAATGTGTGGGGCCCAACCCCCTCACTCATATCCGCACGCCGGATACAAACGGAAACCTCCAAGTAAAATTAATACCATTTTTTGAGTAGTTGAGTCTCTATCCCATTTTTATCGAAACTCATTTTCAACCACTCATTCTCCTATAAAATAATTCTATACATAAATAAAAAAAATTTTTTTACTTTTTAACCATACATTCTTCAAAAATCATTATTATAAAATCTATTTTTCTCATAAAATGGATCTCAAACAAGGGTTTAATCTTAATTTTCAAGGGACACTTGATTAAAAAGCTTGTTCAAGAAGTGTTTATAAAATGTTTAAATTATAAATAGATAGAAATCAGTAACGGATAAATTAAAAGCACTTGCGGATTCTACGAGAGTAGATGGTTTAAAGTTTCAAATTTTAAAAAGTTGTAGAGTTAGAACATGTTTGATGTAAAATAATGTACTAATTTGAGCATTAGGGCCGACAAGATTTTAGCGTTTCGTTTACTTAATACGGTTGAGTTATCTATTAATCACTTCCACACATTCTCATGCCATCTCTGTCCACAATTTATGAGAGAGGTTTTGGTGACTTGAATTGGTCAGCATTTGAAAACTCGGTTTCTTAGTCCCACTCTTTTTTCACATCCCTCTCTGCTCCCAGAAGGTGTCTTCAAACTCAGATGCCTCAATATAAGACGAAGAGTTCCTATTGGAGAAGATCAAGGAGCACAATTCACAAACTTTTGATGTTTCTGTAAACAATCAAAGCCACCAAGGAAAAGAAATGGAGAATACTTTTACCTCGGAATACATGGCGCTGATCAACGAACTGTCTCAAGGAATGGAGCAAGCTAAACAGCTTCGACTTCATTTGTACTTGACATCTCCTTGTGGAGCTCATGATTTTCTTCTGCAAAGGATATTATCTTCTTATGAAAAGTCTCTGTTGATTCTCAAGTCGAGAGGAACTGCAGGAAAAGTTGAAGCAACATCTTCAGTATCTGTTGATGGAAGTTCTTACAGTGGGGATTTGAAGAACAATATGAATCAGCAGGAACATAAAGATACACCAAAGCAAAGGTAAATTTACTTAAGATACACTTTCTGCAATTAATGTTTCTTGGCAATTAGTTATAAGAATTTTCGTCTGATATTTCCTGCCAAATCTGTTGTCGACTGGTAACGCAGAAAACAGTTGCATACATGGACAGAACTAGTGAGAATTAACTCGGAAAATGGGCTTGAAGGACCTACAGATGATGGGTATAATTGGAGAAAGTACGGGCAGAAGGGCATTCTGGGAGCTAAATATCCCAGGTATAGTGTGCCAAATGCACCCTTATTCTGCATAGAAGAGACCAAAGCCACCCATTAACTAGTTAACCATGTCTGTCCACACACACACACACACAAAGAACAAAAGTAAAGAAAGTGTAAACAAATCTTTAACAGGTATATTTATATTTGCAGAAGCTACTATAGATGTAAATACCGTCATCTTCAAAACTGTTCCGCAACAAAGCAAGTGCAGGGATCTGATGATGATCCTACAACATTTGAGATAACATACAAAGGAACACATACGTGTAAGCATTCTGCGAATGGAGTTCCACAGCCAGCATCAATTGGAAAACAAGAATTAAGACATAATTCTCACAAACATCAATCACAAACGAACCAGATGCTTTTAAACATCCGAGCAGATCACAGAGTCCAAACTGAGGACTTGGAGAAAACCGAGAAGCCATCTGTGTCCTCATTTCCCTCAACATTTGGATGCTTAGGAGAAAATTCTACATTCCTGATCTCTACGCTTGTTGATGACAATCACTTCGATTCTTATTCTCAATTCATGTCAGAATCAAATTACTTACCCTACCAGAGGAGCAGCTTTGAGGGTGATCATAATTTACAATTCCTAGAGTCTGATGTTGCTGAGATAATATCAGCCAACACTTCGACAAGCAATTCTCCAATTAGAACCATGGAGTTCCCAGTTGAACCTTAATTTTCCATTCGACACCTCAGGATTTTCTACATAATCATAAATTTGATGTTGCAGAAGAGGAAAATAAATAGAAGATAACGTGATTCTGTACCACAGTATTTGATCCTTGTCGCATTAAAAACCAGAGACATTCTTGTAAAAATTAGTTATAGTCTCAAAATGCTAGCAGATAAATTAGGAAGTAAAAATCTATTTATTAAAACTTCTGCAGTCTAATTTTCATTTACAGCTGCTCATTCAGTTTCTTCAAAATCAACTAGTGAAATTTAGCATAACCTAGTAAGGAAGGTTAGCAATTCGAATCAAAAGGGTTCATACAGATGAAGGAAACCTGTGCAGGTTCACAGCTAATTAACAAGAACAGAGCATTAGAATTAACGGTTCACAAGGATTAAAGAACCTTTACAATCAATATTAGAGAGGGTTTGACTAAGCTCAAAAATTTTAACCATAAATAACACTAAGTAATTTTATAGTGATCAATTGAAAACAATTAAATTACTTATTTTGACATTATGAAAAGAGGTAATTCGATAAGCTTAGTGACTTATTTCTATTATAAGGAAGAAAGAAGTTCAAATTCGTCTTTATTGAAAAATCGAAGAAAAAGTCCTTTCATTAAAAGTCAGAAAAACTCGCCTATGCTTTCTTTGTGGGTGCATCTTGGCCATGCGCCATGCAGGAAAAGTTGAAGCAACGTCTTCAGTATCTGTTGATGGAAGTTCTTACAGTGGGGATTTGAAGAACAATATGAATCAGCAGGAACATAAAGATACACCAAAGCAAAGGTAAATTTACTTAAGATACACTTTCTGCAATTAATGTTTCTTGGCAATTAGTTATAAGAATTTTCGTCTGATATTTCCTGCCAAATCTGTTGTCGACTGGTAACGCAGAAAACAGTTGCATACATGGACAGAACTAGTGAGAATTAACTCGGAAAATGGGCTTGAAGGACCTACAGATGATGGGTATAATTGGAGAAAGTACGGGCAGAAGGGCATTCTGGGAGCTAAATATCCCAGGTATAGTGTGCCAAATGCACCCTTATTCTGCATAGAAGAGACCAAAGCCACCCATTAACTAGTTAACCATGTCTGTCCACACACACACACACACAAAGAACAAAAGTAAAGAAAGTGTAAACAAATCTTTAACAGGTATATTTATATTTGCAGAAGCTACTATAGATGTAAATACCGTCATCTTCAAAACTGTTCCGCAACAAAGCAAGTGCAGGGATCTGATGATGATCCTACAACATTTGAGATAACATACAAAGGAACACATACGTGTAAGCATTCTGCGAATGGAGTTCCACAGCCAGCATCAATTGGAAAACAAGAATTAAGACATAATTCTCACAAACATCAATCACAAACGAACCAGATGCTTTTAAACATCCGAGCAGATCACAGAGTCCAAACTGAGGACTTGGAGAAAACCGAGAAGCCATCTGTGTCCTCATTTCCCTCAACATTTGGATGCTTAGGAGAAAATTCTACGTTCCTGATCTCTACGCTTGTTGATGACAATCACTTCGATTCTTATTCTCAATTCATGTCAGAATCAAATTACTTACCCTACCAGAGGAGCAGCTTTGAGGGTGATCATAATTTACAATTCCTAGAGTCTGATGTTGCTGAGATAATATCAGCCAACACTTCGACAAGCAATTCTCCAATTAGAACCATGGAGTTCCCAGTTGAACCTTAATTTTCCATTCGACACCTCAGGATTTTCTACATAATCATAAATTTGATGTTGCAGAAGAGGAAAATAAATAGAAGATAACGTGATTCTGTACCACAGTATTTGATCCTTGTCGCATTAAAAACCAGAGACATTCTTGTAAAAATTAGTTATAGTCTCAAAATGCTAGCAGATAAATTAGGAAGTAAAAATCTATTTATTAAAACTTCTGCAGTCTAATTTTCATTTACAGCTGCTCATTCAGTTTCTTCAAAATCAACTAGTGAAATTTAGCATAACCTAGTAAGGAAGGTTAGCAATTCGAATCAAAAGGGTTCATACAGATGAAGGAAACCTGTGCAGGTTCACAGCTAATTAACAAGAACAGAGCATTAGAATTAACGGTTCACAAGGATTAAAGAACCTTTACAATCAATATTAGAGAGGGTTTGACTAAGCTCAAAAATTTTAACCATAAATAACACTAAGTAATTTTATAGTGATCAATTGAAAACAATTAAATTACTTATTTTGACATTATGAAAAGAGGTAATTCGATAAGCTTAGTGACTTATTTCTATTATAAGGAAGAAAGAAGTTCAAATTCGTCTTTATTGAAAAATCGAAGAAAAAGTCCTTTCATTAAAAGTCAGAAAAACTCGCCTATGCTTTCTTTGTGGGTGCATCTTGGCCATGCGCCATCGATTCCAGTTGAAAGCCCCTTCTTATTCACTCTTCAGCAACTTCTTGTGCTCTAAAACACTAGAACGACTTGCCTCACAAGAGAAATGACCTGCGGGAACTCACTCACCTTTCCAAATCACTAGTATGGCCATCGAAATCGTGAGCATCGACATGTAGGTTCCGGATTCAAAACAAAATGAAAGATGTAAAGGTATGGATAAACGGAAGGACGAGAGAAATAGAGAAAAAGAATATCAATGATATAGAATTCTAGAGAAACTGGGCCATGTTTCCCCAGAGAGGCCGCCTTCTCTCAGCCCAGCAGTCTTCTACTTCTAGTCGACTGCTTTATGATGGGCTTCCCTGTTTTGTTTCCTGGGCTATGCTCATTTCTACGCTTCAACCCTAATAATTGAAAAACGATAGCAACTAGAAAGAAATTCTTTAACCAGAAAAAATTCGGTTCAAATATAGGATACCTATCCAGAAGTTTTTGCAACTCAATCATAGACAATGGAATCATCAAAGATTTGACCTTTTTGAACTCTGAATGTGCTCGAGTGTGTCCCACCGATGTATTAGAAATGATACCTTGGGACAGATGTAAAGCTAAACAAATTTCTTCTGCTCCAAGGACCAAGGACTACGTTGGTTATAAGAGATGTGAATCTGCCTATCCGATGGAAAGTTTACGGTATTTAACTTTCTTGAAAGGATATTCGACCAAACGTGTTTGGAAACAACTTTCACTTATATTTAGGCTGTCAAACATGCTCTCACAATTTTTGCATTTCATAAGCACTACAAAACATTCAAAAAAATTAAACAGATAGATACAAGAAAGAGTTCTATAATGGGAAACCAAGAAAGATATGTACGAAATCAATCTGCCACAATCTATAAGCCTGGATCTTGATGATGTAATGCAGAGTAAAGAAATTCGGTGCAACTAATCTTGGCTCAACTCAAATCACAGCATCAGGAGATTCTCCACAATTTATAATATAAAGTAAATTATCCAACAACGAGATAACTGGAATATGTAATTTAATTCTAACATAAGAAAATTATAGGACTAATAACAAAATATCAAAATGGACTTTGTACAAGTAAGCAATCATTGAAGTGATTCTGTAACCGTAATGAATTTGGTTCTAATGTAAATATCAGATCAAAAGTTTCCATAACTCAATCATAGACGATGAAATCATAACATAACATTGTATAGCCAATCACTATATCTCATAATCTCCATCGCTTTGTTATTTGATGCATTAATACGATAATTTTTTATTATCTCATATATTAAATAACAAAGTTACACATGTATGTCACGTAGAGCAACTACATGTAGTCTTTACTATGAATTACACCTAAATTTATTAGCAAGTGACATTTAAACTTTCTTTTTCCTCTCTTTTCTCATTTTTAAGATTTCTCACTTAAATGAAAGTATTTCTTTCAGGTAAAATAAGTATAACTATAAATGTTTGTAATAACAATCAAATGAAATCATGAAATATAACTGATTTCTTACAAAATTCTTTGTGCGTTTTGAACTATAAATGACAATTTATTGAAACTTAATGTCTAACTTGCAAACAAATATAAAATAGATCATAAAGTAACAAAAAATAAGTTCTCATATTAGTCATCACATAAAAAAATGTGATCTACTAGTAGAAATGAAAATAACTATGAAATCTGTCATCACTGTCAATAAGTTCTTTAAGTTAATCGTTAATATATTTAATTCAATATCATAATCCTCATCACTAGTAGTTTCTTCTATTTATTTGACCTTTGTCATTGTCCTCGTAAAGTGGTACACCAAATTGAGGTGTAAGGCTTACAAAAAATTGCTAGTTTTAAACTATTTTGATCTTTTATTATGGTGTCATCATCTCTAAACGCGATAAGTTTTTCATTGCATCTTTAACTTGAGGAGAGGTGGATCGCCTCTCCTAAGTCTGGATTTTTTTATCAATAAAATAACTTCTTCTTTTTCTTTTTTTTTTTTGGCTTATTTTTGCTCCCAGAGTTAGATATTATGATGTAACTTATCTAGTAACGATGATCTTTTTTATGAATCTTTTAAAATTACAAAGTGATGAACACGACAAATGATGGAAATGTTGTCAAGGTTGGCCGTGGTGGCACAGTACTCATTCCTTCGATACTTATCTAACTTACATAAATTCTAACCTAATCATGTATTTACCAAGTAAGATATAAATATAAATTATATAATATGATCGAAACCGCCTTCTATTGAAATGATAAACCATCAACTTGATTATGTATGACTATTCAATCAACAAGCATTTATATAAGTAATAAGGTCTTAGTAAATAAATAAAAACCATAAAAGAGTACACGATATTTACAAATCTTTGTCTCAATGTTAGATTACATCATTATTCGTCGCAATAATTCACTATAATGAAAAATAAATTCCAAGAAAAAAATCACACACCCTATTGATAATATATTAAACTCTAATGACAACTCTCTATTTATAAGAAAAATCAGCGCAAAATTACATGAATCAATTCTCAAGTTTCTTTATTTTTTCTTGAGCTCAATTGGATTAAATTGTTTGATATGTAAATGCTCGCTACCAACATTTTTTCCCCTCTTTTTTACATTCTCGATTTTCATTTTCCCTTTTTTTTTTTCAGCCAACTGTATAGAGTAAAGACGCATGTTTCTCGAAAATTTCTAGAGAATAAATTCAAGTTGCCACTAGAAATTCTTGATACCAAACTAATTATTAAACCTTGTAAATATTCTAGATAAGAAACTTTAGAAACTAGTAGATTGAACATGCGTTGCACGTTAGTTGATTATTGTTAAAATTAAGTGTGTGTAAATTTGAGAGATAATAATTTGTAAACATGAACGATATTCTTAAGTTGGTTGAATTTATTCACTTTTTTTATAAAGTAGAAGAGAATATTAATTACAAAAACAAATGCATAATATTGCAAATTAAATGGACAAAAGTTAGGAAAATTACATTAGTAAAAATATGCATACCTCTATCAAGTAGGTGCCTATTTGCCATCCAAAGCAATTGATTTTGCAAGATCTCACATGACCTGAATAAAAAGAACATAAAATAAAGCTAAAATTTTTAGATTTCCCGTATATCATCATAGTGTAACAGTAACTTTTGCAAAACTATCGTAAAGAACAACCAACATTTGCAATGCAAAAAGTGTTGTAACTATAAATGAAGTCACAAATCTATAGAAAATTGTCGTTACGTGTTGTAAGGATTGATTAGTAGCACCCCTAGAGCAGTGACACAACATTTCATCATAGAACCAATTTCCATGTTGACAACCGGTCTTTTCATGTAAAGTCATCAAACCTATTTGTAATTATCTCCTTAATATTGATAATAGCATGATGGTTGGAAAAGGAATATCTAAATCATCATAAGATAGCAATATAGCATAATACTCCATGATGACATTGTTGAAAAAGACAATTCCAAATTTAACTTAATACAATGTAATAATTAAAAATTTTATGACACAACATCTGTATCATTTTGCAGCTTTTCCATGGATAAAAAGAAAGATGAAAGCGTATAAAATATAATTATCACCTATATATTGGACTTCACTATGTAGTCGTAATCAGTATCAAATGAGGATAGAGTGTGAAGATAGCTAAACAAATAGCATATGAAACAAACCATGGAACAACCTTCATGTTAGAGTTATATAACAGATTTGATGTGCCAACAACAAAAATATCCACTAGTTGTAATTTATTGTAGGGTGTTGATTATTATCTCAACTACTTTAATATAGTGAGAAGTCCTACAGTTAACAGATGATGTTTTATCGACATTGTCATCCCATCATGTATAAGGTATAAGATCAATAATGTTCCTCAAATATAATGTTTCTACATTGTCACCCCATCAGGTATAAGATATAAGATCAACATTACTTGCAAATCCATTGATGAGATTCGAAAATCTATGAGTTAAAAGGATGTTAAAGCATAGAGAAGGAAAAAAGAAAACCTATATTGGATTTTAAAGATGCAAGAATTTAACTCTAAATATAAAAGGGAAAGATAAAAGGAGGGAAGTAAGGAAACAAAGGAAAATAACACAATCAACACTTGAAATCCTATTTAGAATAATTAATATAATATAATTTTAGGAACATGAGATGTAGTCAATTTGCACAATGAGGAGGTCATTGGTACATTATAGGAAGGCACCCTTGAGCTGTTGATGATAGTAGATTTACTAAATTTCGAAGTGACTTGAGAAGAGCCTCATGCATAAGACGAAAAACACGTGTGATCTCTCATAATTGCTATTTTACTATATGTCATGAAACATACACATTTTAAACTGTTTTCGTCCGCTTGGTCTATTAAAGAAGAAAGCTTTATATCATTTGCATGTTAAATGAAAAATATAATAAACTTGTTGTGTATACAAAAACTGCACACACAAAAGTCATACAAACAATAGTGGGTGGGTGGGGGGATTTTTTGACATTTTTTATCACAACATGGGTCAAACACTCGTGAGATTCTGGCAGAATTCTGTGGAACAGTTTTCTATACGAATAGAAATGTTTATGTCTACACACTTACCTTGTATATTCTTTTACTTATCACACCATTGGATTCAATCAATCCATGTTAAGAATTAAATTGTAGCAACAGCAATAATTAGATATATTCTGTTAAAAGCTTCCGAGGAATATGTGAGACACTATATTTTGGAAAATAAGACGGATTGAGGTAATATATATGACACGATATAAAGTATATGATCACAAACAAATAATAAGTTAAAAGGCAAAGAATTAATTGGTAGAGGAACGAAGTATTTTATTCAATTGACAAATATAGTGGTGGGCAAAAACCGATCAAAACCACTCAAATCGACTGACCCAACCCAAACCGCTCGATTTGGGTCAGTTTTTGCAATGAAATGGGTTGGGTTCAATTTATTATTTGGCATTTTCTTTCGGGTTGGGTCAGGTTATGGGTTCTGGTATAAACCCAACCCAAACCCGCCCAACCCAAGCCGTATAGAAAATTAAAATATAAAAAAGTCTTGGAAGTTGAAAATAAAAAAAACGGGTACAAGGTCTCTCCTATCCCTCACTCCCTTGTCCCTCCCATTCCCATTTACCATGAAAGAAAACCCTAGTCTCCTCCAATGACCAATCCATTACAAAGCCATCAGTATTCTCCATTTCTTTTCTTGATTTTTACTATAAGTATTTATTACATTTTTTGTGTTTTCATATTTGATTTTTTGGGGGAAAATGATGAAAATCTCAACTTTGTACAAACGCAGCATCGGCAATTGAATTCTGGTGATGCAATGAGCGGCACTTTCCACATGAGATTTTCTATTCTAAAGAAGAAGGAAAAAAATCCATCACAACGCCCAGAGACAGCATTTTTCTTTCGCCTCTCTCTCCGCCAGTATCCGTCGTCAGTTACCAAAGTGAGTTTTTTTTCTTTTTTAGTCTCCCATGCTTTCTGGACTTTTTCATGTAGTTTTTCTTCTTCTTTTTTCAGTGATTGATTATGTTTTATTACTTTAGTAAGTTTGAGAATTTATTAGTAATCCGTCGTCAGTTACCTAGGTGAGTTTTTTTTTTTTTTCTTTTTATTTTGTACCCATTAGTCTCCCATGTTTTCTGGACTTTTTCATGTAGTTTTTCTTCTTCTTTTTTCAATGATTGATTATGTTTTATTACTTTAGTAAGTTTGGACATTTATTAGTAATCCGTCGTCAGTTACCTAGGTGAGTTTTTTTTTCTTTTTTCCTTTTTTTTTTGTACCCATTAGTCTCCCATGCTTTCTAGACCTTTTCATGTAGTTTTTCTTCTTCTTTTTTCAATGATTGATTATGTTTTATTACTTTAGTAAGTTTGGGCATTTATTAGTAATCATAGTTCCATTTCAATTTTATGGTTCTTCGAAGATCTTGAAGTTTATGCTTGATTTTGCTTACTTTTCCCGTCGAAAATAAAGAAACATACATCTATCGTTGAAATTTATGCTTGAATTTGTGTTTGAGTTGTTAGTTGTCTGGTTTTCTTGCTTGTAGTATATGATATTTTGAATATTGAAGTAGTCAGTTCTTGTTTAGTAAAGCAACACTTGAAAAAGACATCAGTTCTTGTTTGGTAAAGTAAAATTCGACCAACATAGTTAAACAGATCTTGTTCAGTAATAAAAACCGACTAACCCAACCCAAACCGATCGAAACTTGGTGGGTTGGATTGGGTTGGGTTTAAACACATAATTGGGTTGGGTTGGATTGATTCTTAATCAAACCGATCATGTTGGGTTGGGTTTGGATTGGGCAAAAAATTGACCCAACCCAACCCAACCCAACCCAACCCACCCCACGCCTACCCCTATACAAATGTGGAGAAAATAAATACAATAATTTTGCTGACACAATTATTTAGTAATACAAAACTTGTGAAATAGTTTAGTATTTATAAGGGTGCATGTCAAACCCTAGATATACCACAAAGATGAAAACAAGATCAAAAATTACGTGACATAAATTAAACAATATTTTTCCAATGAAATCATGTAGAATAAAGGAAATAATATTTTTTTCAATAAAAGCACGTAGAACAAAGGAAATAATATTTTCCCAAAAAATCCAATTTAATTTGGGTCAAAAAATTCAACAATCTTCACCTTGACACAAATATCAATGCAACGAACAAAGCTTCAAAATTTCTCCACCTAGAAAAATAAATTCGACTGCAACAATAAAATACAAACTTTTCAACAAGAATGAAATTTTCTCCAGTACAAAAATACTCTTCTTCCACTATATCCAACACGGATACATGAACTCAGATATCGAGTTTCATAAAATTAAAAATGAATTAGAAATTACCAACTATGTCGAACCACACATTGTAACAGAATCAAACTCCTTATGCTTTCATTCGAACCACACATTGTAACAGAATCAAACTCCTTATGCTTTCATTGAAGGCCCTAACTAGTCTCGATATCTTCAAAAACGTTAAAAAAATGTGCAACCGAACCAACATCCATGTACCTACCTCTAATGGGTCTATCCCTAACAGTTGAATATGATGGAACCGCAAGTAATAGTGGCAAAGCGGAATTACCCGTCTCCTCCGAACTTGATTAAGTAGTATTCTTTAAAATGGATTTTGAACCAAATTCCAATTGTACAGTACCAAACTGAATCTCCATTACAGTACTGAATTTGTGCTGACTTTTCTTTATAAATTCTGTTCGACCTTGCAAGAAGTATTATTGGGACATCTTTTGCCTTTTGACCCCTCAAGACTCCACCTCCAGATATTATGTACCTTTTTGAATCAAGAGTACTCAACAAAGTGAGATTCTTCTTCAAGTTTGGAATATGTCAAACGTGATCAAGTGCTCTACATGTTCCATCCACCGGCTTCAATCGATCTCTACCTATACCAACTACCTGACAAGGTTTGTTGTTACCCATGACAATGTTACCTTGCGTCACCATTTCATATGTTTCAAATAAAATTAATCTCGATTGGGACATGTATGGAACGCACAACTGTATCCAAAATTCATTCCTCGTCAGGTTTGGATTTCATGTCAAAAATCGTCAAAATATCTCCATCACTCAAATAGTTCTCGACTATGTTGGTCTCATCTAAAATATTTGATTGTTTTCCATGATTTGGAGTCAAATTACCTTTGTTATACAAGTTACCACAATCTCTCTTAATATATCCTCTCTCTTTTTTTGCAATAATAACAAATCTGATTACTGAAATTTGACCTCGACTTGTCCCTTTTCCAATCACCATGAACAACAAGGCATTCTCTATCTATGACCTCAAGTTTGACCAGATGCTTCATTTTCTCTTTTAAAAATAAGGCATCATAGGCATATTTAATGGTGAGAAGATCACGACTACACAAAATCGTGTCTCTAAACAAAGTAGACAGCGGACACAAATGGATTAAAGTCAGATCTTCTTCATCACACAGTTAGATAATCTTTCAAAGATCCGCATTCTACCATGCGATGAGAATACAACCTCTGCTTTAGATGCAATTTACTTATCAGACTTTTAGTCATGTACAATTGCTCCAACTAAACCACAACGCAACTATCATTTTCTCCTTCAAAAGTCCTGAAGATTATTGTTAGAGAGATGAAGATGGATCTGTGAAATTACCTTTCGATCCTTACATTGTTTCTCTTTTGTCGTCTAAATTGTAGGCATTTTGTCAGATCCTAACAATGCGTTATACAAATCTATCTACTCGAGTACAGGTCGATCTTTACTTGTCACAATGAGAATCTTGTATTACAATCTAAGAGCAGAATTTCATACTTCATGGCAACCATCAATAACAAAAACCTTAAACAAATCACAACACAACTAATAGCTTTGATACCACTTGTTGGAAAATAAAATAGATCGAGAAAATATGCATGACACATCATGAAGTATATGATCACAAACAAACAATAAGATAAAAGGTAAAGAATTAATTGGCAGAGGAACGGAGTATTTTATTCAATTGACAATACGGAAAAAACAAATACAATAACTGTGCCTACACAATTATTCTATATTTCAGTAATACAAAACTTGTGAAAAGAGTTTAGTATTTACAGAGGTGCTTATCAAACCCTAGAAATATCATAAAGATGGAAACCAGATAAAAAAGTCACGTGGAATAAAGGAAATAATTTGAAGTTATCTTAGTCTCAATACACTAAATAATTTGTTCATATGAAACCACACTACTGAGTTTACTTGACAAAAATCCAAGTTATTTGTTAGACAACAAAAATCTTTGGCATTCCAAGACATTTAATTGAGTTTTGGGGAAAAAAATGATATTTTTCCCTTCCATGTTTTGGATTAAGAAAAGAAACCTTCCAGAATTCTATTTGCAAAATAGAATTATATGCTAACACTAAACTTTTGAGATTCAAGAAATTTACCGTTGTTGCATTTCCTTCACCAGAGTTTATTAACTACACGAGCCTGAAAAATTACATAAATGCTTTAGTTATTGCTAAAAGATAGAAACAGAGAATAAACTAAAAACTACTGAAACTTGACAATAAGGTTCGCACCATTTTACTAGCCACAAAACCAAGATTTGAAACACAAAAGGAAAACAACTCCAGTGGAAGGAATAACTAAAACTTTTAAAATCATGTATAAACCCAAAAAAATAAAAACGAAAGCAAACCATAACGAAAAATAAAAAGTAAAATTTACAGTTTTCTGTGAACGAGCCTGAGATGTCAATACACATGATAAAGATGATAAGACCTTTGTGACAATGAGAATATTTATTGTTATGTTATGATATAAGTTATTCATATTAAATTGGATTAAGAAAAACAACTCAAGTGCAAGGATTACCTAAAACTTTTAAAATCATGTATAAACCCAAAAAAATAAAAACGAAAGCAAACCATAACGAAAAATAAAAAGTAAAATTTACAGTTTTCTGTGAACGAGCCTGAGATGTCAATACATATGATAAAGATGATAAGACCTTTGTGACAATGAGAATATTTATTGTTATGTTATGATATAAGTTATTCATATTAAATTGGATTAGGCTAATTATCGTGTGTGGTCTTAAATTCTTGGAATGCATTTGTGGGTCGAAAGAAAAGGGCTCTATCACAGGATAGAAGGTTACATTGCCATAGAATGACTTACAATGGACAATTATGTTAAAATGTGAATCCCACTTGATATGGAAACAGGGAATTCATGTTCACAACCCCGGTTGTTAAACTTCTTAGAATTACACTCCTTTCTGTAGCTTAGGATTAACTTATGACTGATGTTTGTCATCCTTTCCCTAAAAACCTTACTGACATTGCCAACTCAATATTGTTAACCGACCCTTATATTATTTTTTCTAGCATGAAAATGCTCTGAAAGAACATGTATTTGAGAAACTAAGTCTCAGAAATTTGTTAGGCACACAACTTAATGTATTACATTTAATCTAGAAATGCAGATATCCCAATTGTCAAAAAGTTAATTAAAAATCCTAAAATAATCAAAAATTCCAATAACAAATTCTTATAACATCGAAATATAGAAATTAAAAATAAAGCGCAAAATCCATACACGACAGAAAAAATAAAGAGAAAAACAGCAAAATGCAAAAATTGACATTATCGAATTGTCTCGTGGCTAATGGTGCCGCTAGAACCAGATGACCAGAAATGAGGGTCCAATAACTAAATACAAAAGCTTGCAAATGGGAAAATTTCATGTAAGAAAGGACACGATTTAAATAATAAAAAATTGCAATACCTCAAAGTATGGAATATATAGGAACGAATCTGATGTAATTTCACAAATTCATCACACACCATTATTCATAATTGTAGATCTCCATTTCAATTTTTCTATGATAATTGAGAATGATTAAGCTCATTTTCTTTAAAATCTTATTGAATCTCTTTCAGACCCAAAACCCAATTTCCACATTATACATTTGGTGGATTTGCAGGATGAAGGCAAACACCAAGTAGAAAACTTAGATCAAATTTATGTCAAGTAAAATATAATCAAAGAAAAGAAGTTAATATCTCATAGCATCCTCAAGGTTAGTGTTCTTATGCACAACAAGAGAAGCAGCTATCATAAGGTCGCCAATAACCTTCCTATAAGTTTTATTGAGTAGCTTCTGAATATTGCTAAATGTCTGTAGTGGCTCAAAAAATTAGAAACCCATAAAAAAATAAGTCTCTGTATATGAATATTAACTTGAGAATTTTGATAGAGTAGCTTAATATCTTTATTAACATATTGTCTAAGAAAAACACAGTCATTGTTCTCGCCTATGGCATCATTTTGACCATTTATCAAACCCTTTTCCTGTATATAATTCTGCTGTCTGACATGGTTGTGGAACTCATAATGAATCAGACAAACATTGTTTCAAAATCAAAACAAAACACTATGAAAGAAGCTGCTTCTCACTTATGGTTTCTATTGATTCGAGTTACAATAAATTTTCGGATAATATACCAGCAAATATAGGGGAATCCAAGCAACTAAACAGTCTTCAGTTGCAGGAAAAAAAGTTATCTGGTTAGTACAGATTCATTAGGCTCTTTTATGTCATCACTGAAATAACATGGATCACAATTCTCTAATGGGCTAAATTCTTACCTTCCTTGTGTTTATACCAAAACTCTCAATCACTTTAATTTGTCAAGGAATCAACTCTCTGTTTCAATACAGCAACTCTTCCTACACTCGGGCTATAATAATCCCCGAGTCCCTTTCCATAGAAGCTCTCAATAATAAAAAAATTCCAGCCATGTTCACCAAATTCTAGAATGTCTTAGATAAAGCGATAAAATCAATAAAGCCCATCATCTTGCATTTTTAGGTATATTGATCCCATGATATTTGAACGAAAGATCATAGCCTAAATGAAACATTATCCAGCAAAAATTGCAATCAAAGATGCATAAAATAAGAAAAAACTAAGAGAACGAGACAGAAAAAGAAAATGGAGATTATAATTGACAATAATGCAAGAAATGCCCAATCTATGAAAACTTACAACATCGCCCTGAGCAATCCCGAAGTAGGTCAAGGCAAAAGCCTGCTTAAACTATACTTCACAGAACTATATGTTGAATACTTATGACAAGTATCATAACTAAACCCTTAATAGTAACGTATATATATACAATCAAATGACATAGATAAGTGTAGATCTGTAGTGTGGAAATTACATGCAATGTGATCTGAACATGGCTATTTTTAACTAATCCTACCTTATGAGATCAAACCAAAACTTTAATCAAAATGAAACTGAACTGAATACTTTATTTCTAAAATAAACTAAATATCCATGGACAGAATTATGTGTCCAAAATAGATACATCCGAATACAAACTCCCGCTAAACTGGTATATCATAAAAAATGCAACACCCGTGTAAGCAATATGCTCATGAAAGGCTTTGGGTGATAGCCCTCAATAAGCGGATCCGCAATTAGAGAGTTTGTCCTAATTATTCCATATAAACCTAAACACTCTAAATTATTTTTCTAACAACGAGGAACTTAATGTTTATAAATTTTGACATCATCAAACTCCTGTTGGAATACAAGAATGATATTATCACAAAATAACTTAAGTGGTCTTTCAAATCCATCCAAATGTGCAGTCTAGTGACAAAATTTTGCAATCATATTTCATGATCAAAATCAGAATATCTAATTATCTCCAATTTGTTTGATTTTCTTGAATGTGATCATGTAATCTTTAGTTCTCTATAAACACCGAATAACCTAGTTGACTGCTTTCCAAATATCCATCCCAAAGTAAATATCTGTTTAGCATTCAACTAATGAATGTCATA